AAGTGTGCGCGTGTGTGGTGGTGAAGGCGGGAGGGGGGCGGGAGGGAGGGCGGGAGGGGGGGTGGGAGGGGGGTGGGGTGAAGATGACCTACCGGGTATTTGGTGAAAGTGAGAGCGAGTAGGAAGGGGAGTGCTAATGGCATCTGGGTGTGTGTTTGTATGTGTACATGTATGTGTGTATGTCCTTAGTAGGACGGCAACGCCTTGGTACCTGGAGCAGGAGGGGCGCCACCCCCCTGTTTGTGCTATCTAGATGTGTGTTCCTAATAACCTTTCCGTTCTCTTGGCGGCATGGAGCCGCAGTACGGCGGCAGCTGCCGTACTGCGGCTCCAGCTGCCGCCGGTCTGGTCGTCTTGGGAAAGCGTCCTGAGATATCATAACCACCAAAACTCACGTTAATCCGCATCGTGAATGCCGTACACTAAACAAATTTGCCGTACTGCCTGCCCGCCCTCTCCCCCCCCAATGTATTCTCCGCTTTGCGGCGCAGGTGGAGACCATCGGTGACGCGCTGATGTGGGTTATTGGGTTTCGGAGCCGCTGGGTGTTTTTAGAGCTTAGGGGTTTAGGGTTTCTATTTTGCCCTAGCAGCCTTTTAACTTCGAGCTTGTACGGCAGCAGGCTGAGTGGTTGCTTGGAGATGTCCGCCGGCCGTCAAATGAACTCGGTAGGGCACAGCACTGCCATCGCTGCGAGCGGACGCGAAACATTTCCCCTCCCCCCTCCCCCCTCCCCCCTCCCCCCTTTCTCTGCAGGTGTGTGGCAGGTTGCCCAGTGCCCGAGGACCCGGTGGCGAGTGCCGTACGAATCGCGAACATGGCGCTGGACATGGTGACTGCCGTACAGCAGTTTCGTCCCTCCGTGGAGGGGGTTCAGGGGGTGCAGATTCGTGTGGGGATACACTCTGGTAGGTCGGTATCTCTGTCGGTCAGAACGTTTGTCGGTCAGTATGTCGGTCGGTGAATGCGTATATGCTGATGGGACTCAGTCACTCCTCTCAAGACTCACCAGACGCATCCGTAATTCATTCCCGACACTTCAACTTCCCTTCCCAATCACATTACCGCTGGTTATCCCCCTCCCCCTCCCCCTCCCCCTCCCCCGCAGGCCCGGTGGTGGCGGGTGTGGTGGGCAAGAGGATGCCCCGGTATTGCTTGTTCGGGGACACCGTCAACACCGCGTCCCGCATGGAGAGCACCTCGGCGCCCATGAGGATTCAGGTGGGTGAGGTTGAGGGGGGTGGCGACCTGGTGTGTGATGTATGTATGTATGTATGTATGTATGTATGTATGTATGTATGTATGTATGTATGTATGTATGTATGTATGTATGTATGTATGTATGTATGTATGTATGTATGTA